ATATGAATTTTTTGAAACTGTTTCTAAATCTTATCTTTCAATCATTCTGCCTCACCTGCTATCCTCTTCTATCACACAATTTGGGAACCACATCATTGACTATGAGAAACTTAAATTATTATTAAATGTGAATTAAATTATTGAATAAAATACATTAGTATAAGTGGTAAAATCTATTAGTATAAATGTAAAGGGTACAAGTATTAAAATAAAGTATAGTACTACACTTACAAAGAATTTGGCGTGTCCCCTCAGGACGTGGGGGATCATGGCTCTCCACAATTTCCTGGCTTATAGCCATATCATGTTGAAACATTGGTTCTCATATGATCACCGATGTTAAGCAGCATTGTGCCTGGTCAGTAACCAAATGGGTGACTGCTTGGGAATACCAGGAGCTGTAAGCTTGGATGTGTGGGTGGTGTAATGGATAACAGTTCAGAATTGGAAATTGAAGTGTTGAGTTCTATTTCCAGTCATGTTTGTTATATTCACTTATGCATAAAATACTCTTAGAAGAAGTCTGAATCCATTTCTTCTCCCCCCAATTATGGGTTAATTAGTGGACTTGTATCAGTCAATTGTCTCTCAAAAATTCTTACAATCTAAAAAATATTTCCTGGCTTTAAATAACTTGCAAGTGCTTGTCTATATTTCTGAGATGAGGTGTTGTAACTATTTACATTAATGGGACTGTTGTCCTCATTTTTACTGTCACATTCACAATAACAAATATCACCTGAAGAAGGCAGGAGTATACAATGTCTGAAACATGAATGTGACAGTAAAGAGGAGGACAACAATCTGACCACTGTAAATAGTGTAAATCTGAAAATGGTTGATAAGCTGTAAAAAACAAATTAATCCATAAAAAAACCCCACAATTTCCTGTTGTTTGTAGCTCTTAGTAAATTTTGTCTTTTCACTATTTCTCTTAATCCATGTTCCACCATCCATTTATACAAACTTGTTCTATAGGTTATGTGCTGCTTTCCTCTGTGCCTCTTGTTTTCAATATGTCCTGTGAGTTTCAAATTTTCCAAGCCCTTTTATATGCCCTAGAAATTTCAACTCTTTCTGCTGTTAAGTGTAAGTGCTCTTTTTGTTTCCATTTTTTTCTAAAACTTTGTCATTGCTCATATGTTCAGTCCATGATATTCTCAGCATCTTTCTGTAGTACCACATTTCTGTTGTTTCCAGTCTCTTCTTCATCTGTGAGGAGATTGTCCAGCATTTACTGCCATACAGAAAAATATTACATAACTGTTATGTACTCCTTTCTGTGTTTCGGAAAAAAAATTTTCCTGTTTGTTAATATTTTGTTTAGCTTTTGGAAGGTATCTTTTACTATCCCAATCCCAAAGTGACATAATTTAAAGTTTTCCTGTCACTGTATACCTATTCAGAAGTACACTTAACACAGCTACAAACACTTGTAATTTGCTTGGAAACCATAACTCTGGTTAAATATAAATATAATAGGCTAGGATTTCTGCAGAACTGATAGAGCAGCACAAACTCCCACAAGTGTAAACAATTAATTGATTGCATGTCATACACAATGTCACTTGCCTGGTGAATTAGTGTGGCACTTGCATAAAATTTAAATGCTTGCTCATAATTTTGTCTGGATTAAGAGAGATGCTGGACCATGAATTGCCAAAGAATTGGTGATGCACTTGTATTGTTTTAATAGAAATAGCATTACTAACTAGAACTGCTTAGATGTATAAATTTTTTTCATTTAAGTAAATTATTTTGATTTGTTAATTTAGCTTAAAATTGATTCAGTTGTTGCTTTTTGATTTTAAATTAGGAAACATAAGGAAACAATGCAAGAGACGGACAACTTTGATATTTGGGGCTTTTATTTACTGCTGTGTAGATTGGTATATGCAATTTTTTTTTTCTTAATCATTACACCCCAAGCAAGGCAGTAAAGCCACTAAGACACAAGGGATTACTGAGTGTCAAAGAATAAGAAAAGAAAGAGAAACATTGTTAAGGAGTGAGAACAATAAAAGAAGAGTAATCAAGAAGACAGTAGATAATGATTGATATTGCATTTAAACTTTTGAAGATCAATGTTGACCGGAAAGCATGCTGCGAGAAGAGAAACTTTTAGCAAAGAATTTACAGTTGCATCTAGCCAATTCAACTGTAAATTGCTGGGACTTTGTTGCCAATCTAGTACTGCACTTAAATTCATAAAGTCTAGGTACCATAGCGGAAAGTTAATCTGAACAATTACAATGAAAGTATTTATAGAAAAGGCACAGGGAAGCTATGTTATGGTGGTGGGGAATTGACTGATCCTGAGATGCCAGGTTAGGATCAATAATATTGTGGATTCTTTTTTTTTTTTTTAATAATGATAATGAGTAGCAAAGAAATAAAATTGTCGACCAGTGTCTTTCTGGAGAACAATGCTTTTAAAAAGACAAGCAATCTTTGTACATATTAAGAAATAGTGCATTTATAGTAAACAAATAAAATAAAAAAATTACCTATTTAAGGCCCTGATGAGGAGATACCAAAGATAAATTTTGAACATTTTATTTGTTTGCCATCTAAGTAGACTGTCCCATTTATTTTGATATATAAGGGCCCAATAGTTCAATTTGAACTAATCACAAGACTACCCACACAGATGATTTGAGTATAGTAGTGAAGGTTTACACACAAGACAAATGGTGCACAGTGTATCACAAAATCTCCAAACAGACCTTTCTCAGGTTTGTATCTTGAGTTTTCCTTCTAAACAGGCTGCCACCAAAAGCAAAACAGCCCAGTCTGCCTTTCTATTTAACCCATAGTTGGAGGAAAAGATTCATGCCCTTTTCCAGGCTATTAGTGAAAAGTGTACAAAACATAACCAACCAAGATTTTAACTCGGCTCAGCGATTCCTCTTTCCATGCTGATAACTGTTATGCTACCTTGCACATTATTTTTTTTTTTTTTCTTTTTTTTTTTACTAATTGTTCACCAAATACGAAGCCAAAGAGCTACTCAAGGTAGAAGGTTACTGAATGAGGTTGTATGTAAGTGAAGATGAGCAGATGTAGGATAGATAAAAGTTGACACTAGACTGGAAGAGGTTAAAATTGTAGTGAACAGGGAAGCATCCTCTCAGGAGTCTGTTTCATGAAGTAGTAGTTCTTGGGAAGAAGCTGTCTGAATGGAGCAGAGTAACTACTAAATTTTTGGGAAAAAGAATTACTGAGTGATTTATTAATATTTAAAAGTGAATTTTATTTAATAAAAAAAAATCTATCAATATCATTTAAATTTATTTTATTTTTTTAAAATAAAATTAGTGTTTTGTGTGTGTACAAGGAAAGTTATATAAAAGTTTGTACAATGAGTAAATTTGTTGTAAGTTTTTAATAGTTTGTATCTGAATCAAAGTAAAAGCCAGCTATCAAATGCTGATTTTCAAGGCATGTTTCTTGCTAGTTAGCATTAGAAAATCTCACTTCTTTACTGTCAGTACATCTATTTATAAATATCTACCAAATAAAGACTAAAATTACTTAGAAATAGATAAGTTTTTTTGTATAATTTTTGGTAATTGACACTTTACTTAAAAATTACCTAACTCTATGCTGAAAACTGAAGATATATTTCATATGGAAATATGATCTTAATTTGGATAGGTAAGTAAACATGCAGCTTTTTTAAAATTATAGACAAAATACAAAGCAATGATTATAAGGGAAGCTTTTTTGGACAAAAAGGATTAAAGTTATTAGTAGATAATACTATTTGAAATAGCTATTTCTTCATCATCCTAGTCGCATATAATACTATTTGAAATAACCATTTTATCATCCTTTTGTACTGGTGGAAAATCATGTAATTTAGATGAAATCAAGGGTTCTAGGACAGTTGCATACAAGACATTTGCATCCTTAGACAAATGCATCCCTGGATAATTGCATACCTCTGATAGTTTTTTGAAGTTTTTAAAGGCAATTACCAGAAATTTTGAAAAAAAGCATAGGTAGTAATCATAAATTTCTAAAAAGTTATAAAATAAAATAAAAAATTAAAAGCTTATTTTTGCTTAAAATGCAATGACAGATTAACAGTGTTGGAAAATCGCTCTACACAATGCCAGTATGTTTTTGTTTCATTGGTGTTTTTCTTATGATAGTGGTAGCTGTAATTTTCCTTGTCTATAAATATTTTTTCACCAGGGTTTGATTTTCGGAACTTAGCCATGGGTTCCAAATAAAAATATAATCTATAAAATCCAGAATCTATTAGATGTTTGTGGTATGCACTGCTGGAGTGAACTGAAACTGCTAACTTAATTTTCTCTTGCTTTAAAAAAGAAATTTTCCTCTTTTTTTTATTTATAGTAACTACCTTTCTGTTTCTTTAGAGTAATTAAAGGTATTGGTGTGCAAATTTCTATATTAAACAACACTTTAAAAAAAAAGAAAAAATGGTAACTTCAAAAACATATCAGAGGTACGCAATTATACAGGGACACATTTGTCTATGGACGCAAATGTCCAGGGCCATATTTATCTGCTTCATAAATGTCTAGTACACAACAGTCCTTCCACTTAAATCAAAGGTATTGATGATTCTGAATCCAAACTCTGAATTGTTCTCTTTCACATCAGAATTTTGCATTGTGTGTATGATTGGGTGATTTTTGTCTTCTATTAACGGAGAGCAAAAATGAAAAATGTTTTCTTTGCTACTCAGCCAAAGAATGCTGTACAAAACTAAATCAAGTGTGCTGATTCTGAGTCAGAATTGTACTCGGAATTGTTCTAGCATGTCAGGATTGTGGTATATGGACATAACATCGTTATGTTTAATGTATATATTATGTTAATAGTATATTAGTATCCACTTCAGTTGGTAGCATGGGAATCATTCATGTTATTGGTACAGAACATTCTTAAGTTTCATTGAGCCAAAAACTATACTAATTTAACAAACAACATTATAACTGTGTAGTAAAGAATGAAATGCTAGATGTCTCTGAAAATGTACTTCTTACATTCTCATCTTAAAGTTTTTACAACTGATGTAGGTGTCATAAGTGATGAGCAGAGCGAGATGTTTTGCTAGGTCATATTTGAAATGGGATTGCAGTATCAAGGCTGGTTCTGCCAAAACATGGGTAGCGACTGTTGATTCCTACAATAAGAGACCAGCTCAATGCAGAAGTACAAGAGCATGTATACCAAACATTTCTGAAGATATTATAAATAACTGAATAAATATAAAATAATTTTTTATCAGCATTGAAATTTTCTTTGAACATAAAAATATACTTACTAATAATACTATTTGCTTAATCATAAAAGTTCTGTCTGCTGCCTTTTTCTATGTACCATGTATTTTCAGGATATGGATAATCATGACTCTCCACAATTTCCTA